ACTACTTGTTAACAGAATCTTCAGTTTCAGAACGAGGCGGCCTAGAAACAGAATTTCGACTTTTCTTTGGAGAATTTGTTGACGTAAAACCGTTTGGAGTACTGGTACGTTGTGAACTGTATACTTCACCAACTGTATTCAATCCAGTCGAACAGGAAGATTGAGCAGATTCTTGGACTAAAAATTTGTTTGGTTGACAACATTGCAGTGTTTTATAAAACTGCTATATAATCTACATTTAAAAAAAATTTTTTTTTTGATACCTCTGTGTTGAGAATGTTTGCGAAACTGTATTTTCTAAAAAAGAGTCCATTAAGTGACTATAAAAGTGATTTACTGAAACAAATTTCCATACTCTCCACTTAAAAAAAGATGGTATCAACTTAGCTTCAAATTAAGTATTTAAGTACTAATCTTTTTCATGACAACTTAAATCTTTGACGAACATAGCCTGAGTGCTGTTTTCATGTAACTGCTAGCCACCTTATCAAGACTAATAACTTAGTTTTGAAAGAGTGAGAAAGAACAAATATTATTATTGATTCACTAATTTCAAGACTTGTAAACGTGTAGTTAAAAAAAACTGATTTTTTCAAAGTTAATAAAGTTAAATTTATAGTGCTACAATTTCAACACTGATCTCACAGTAAGTCATACACGTAGACTGTCCATTTCGGATAACTGCTGTCGAAGTAATTGTACCAGTTGACGAACTGGAACCTCGAATTAATGCTGCCGATGTTACGGCGGTGACTGTACTGATAGTGCTGTTACTGCTGCTACGTTCACGTTCAGAACTATTTGCATTTGATGACATTTAGAGATTGCAAAAATTTTGCAGATTTTTTGTAGAACTGTTGCAAACTATAATGTTTTGAACAATTTATATCATTTCACGGTTAGCATTTTTATTAATTTCTTCCCCTTACTTTTTTTTCTTTCCCTTCACGTCACATCGAACAATCGTTACAGTTAGCAAAAAAAAATTTGAATGAAATCCACAAATTACAATTAACTTTCCATACTGATTGCACGATTTCAAGAAATCAAAATTTTGTTAAAACATTCCAAAAGAATCCGACGCATATATCACAAAATGTAGTTTTTTTTTTTGTGTTATTTTTTTTAACGCTTAACGTTATCTAATCTGTTACAAAAATGACTATTTTCTTCTATTTCAAGCCTTCATATACCCACTGCTTTCGATGTACTATCAGTTCTACGCTTTCGTTTTATAAAAAAACATGATTCCTTCTCTCCGGCTTTCTTCTTTAACTACACAGTAAATATAAAAAGAAAATTTTCGTCCTTTATTTATAGAAGAAAGAGAGGCACAAAAACAATGTTTTTTTTTTTTCGAATTCACTTCTAAACCCGCTCCCTCACCTTCAATGATATTCAAAAAATTCTCATAGAGACGCTAAGTCGAATGATGATTCCAAATGATAACTTTTTACATCATACACCATATTTTTTCCAATAATTCATTGTACTTAAAATGCTGACAAGTTCCAAACTTTAAAAACCACGGTAAAAAAGATGGTAAAGCAAAGACAGCCTCAGAAAATAAATATACTTGAGCAACCCCTAATTTTAAAAACAAAATAAATTGAAAATTTCAGAACCGAAAAAGTAATCGTGATGAAAATATGAAGTCTTAAACTGTCATATCAGAGCAACTTTCAAAGTGCCAAGTGGTAACAATTAGACCGTATCCTAAAAGAATGAATAACAAATTCAGTGAATTCTTCAGTAGCCTTAAAAAGTATCAGAAAAAAACAGGATAAAATTAGGTTAGACAAAGGTCTTTAAAACGCTTCGGTAGACCATAGTAACTAAAAAAAATAATTGTCTTTAGAAAAACGAAATAACCGTCAGGTATCAGATACACAAGGAAATACTTGTTTCTCAAATAAAATCCAGAAATTCCAAACAACATCTAACAGCAAACTCGGTCAGCTCAAAGTAAAGTTGGTCTGTAAATTTATCAACAGTGATTATATAAACTAACAGCCTTTCCGTGAGCTACAATTCATCGCAAAAAGGGTACTGAATTTTATTTAAAAAAGGACCAACTACTAGACATATGAAAAAAACTGTAAAAGTTAACATTTTTCAGGAATTTTTTGTGCTTGCAGTTATATTTATATTCAAACAAAGTAATGTTCGCTTTCCTTTACGGAAAAACCAAAGCTTGTTAAACAGAAGTTCTGAACCATCTGGAAAACAATGATTGTTCCTAATAAATTACTACTGACAAGAGTCAAAAGTTTTACAATATTGAGATGAAACTCCAGCCTAAAACGTTGTGTAAACTGCATTTTTTACTCTAAATTCAATGTAACACTTGCTAACAATATCAGATAAATCACTGCATTTAGCTGGTTTTGAAAAAAATCCGCAAAAGTGCAGAATTCTTTTACTTTGAAAGAAACTTCCACTGTCAAAGAGAACAGCTGTAAATACTGCATGTCAGACGGCTGTAGCATGTATAAGTTGTCGCCGAGGTTATATTTAGTAGAGAGGTAGATATTTTATGATTTACTAACTCTAAACCGCTAGCCTGCAACTTTTATTTTTGCTCTATAAACTCAGACCAAAAAACGCGGTGAAAGAAAATGACTGCAAAAGAAATGGTTGTCACCAAAACGTTGTGAACGTATTCTAAAATCTAAAAACCGTCTACCTGCTCTACCGTAAAATAAAAAAAAAGAAACAAAACTATCTAATTATCAATATATTTGCAAAGTGGGTATATATAGGTTACAAACGAGGTTTCTGTTCGCCTTTTCATCCATTAAGAAGCAACTGTTTTCGGGTAGGAAATTAACTGTACCAATATCAGATTTTTTATATCATAATTTCACTTTTTTAAAACTATACCCATGCTTCAGACTGCTTAAAAATAAACACTCGTGAAGTTAAAATAAACTTCACAAACAGTACCAACCAAGTAATCCCAAAATTAATCTTCTAAAACTTGTCACTAGCGGTCTTTTTGCTTTTACATCTCGTTCTAACCTTTATTCATAATTCATAATCACTGAAGGGACAAAACCAAAAAAAAAAATTTAAAAATGCACTTGAAATTAAATCCCAAACAACAAAAATTTATTGATTTCTAAAACCCTCGTATCACGCAATGCTTCTGACTCATAATTTTTGACACCTACTCATCCGTCCTTGCAAAAGTGCTCACACCGGTAAATTTCAGTGATGTTTTTGCACACCATAACACTACAGCTTTATAGGCTGATAAAAAGTAACGACTTTTTCTTATACTTTCAATGCTCGGATTTAAGAAAAACTGTAAAAGAAAATTTTCGCTTTTGTAATTTGATAGTTCAAGTTCTCAAAAGGAGGGCGTTTCCTCCACGTATATCGTGGATCTGAGAGTAGTTGCGTAATGAAGCCGGAAACCTCCAAATGTTATCAGAACAGCCTGCTTAAAGTTAGCAGTGAGCAATACTTCTCAGAGAGATACTGACAACTGATTTCCACCATCCAGTTCAAACTTCTGTTAAGATAAGACCTTGTACTTAGTCGTTTCAATACCTGTTGAATACGCGAAAAAAAAAAAAAAAAAA